CGCTCAGCTCCTCCGGACAATTTCTGGATGTTTCACATCCGGATGGTTTCACATCCCGTTGCTTGCTTGCTTGGACGCTGTCTTGCGAAAGAGCGAGCGCGGATATCCGGATAAATTCCGGATGGAGCGGTCGGGTCTGCAAAAACAAAACGCCTAGCGCGCATGGTCGTCTCACAGCTGCAGGCACTGACGACAGATGCAGCAAAAGAGGTGACAACTGCTCCGACACATGCCGACATGCCACACAGAACTATAAATGTGCTGCAAAACGTGCGGAATATGCCCTAACACGCAATTTATGTGCTTTCTTGCGGGGAGGTGTCCTCAACCCGCACAGAAAAATCTGCTGGCATATGCCAAGATACCGACATGCCAGAACGCGAAAAACGTGCAAAGGGATCCCGACATGCAATGTCTCCTGACACTTCGATCCTTTGTACATGTGGCAGGTGGGGCGCTTCCGGTATATTTTCCAAGCATGTCACATGGGACTATCCTAACATAAATACAAACATTATGAAACACTGAATTGAATGTGCCAAAAATGCAGAAACAATGCCACTCGCGTGAGCTCTGTTACAGAAAAAACAGGGCTTTAGGCTTTGTAAACCTCAGAGGAGGACATAAACAGTGGCTGCGTGGGGACTCTCGGGGATATGTACAGTCCTGCAGATGTGCTCGGTGTCCCATCGTTCTGGAAGTTCTAAGATGGCACCAATAGACCATGTGACCGTGACACACACAACCAACAGTTAAACGAAGTAAGATCTACGACACAGCCCAGGCATCAAGTATATTCTGCGAAACAGGATACGATACACCAACAAGCAACTGCAATGGAGCTTCTCCGGCATGTGTTGGCAGACAGCTCTTGCATGTCACGGCCTAATCCTAACTCCCATCCCTGCATTCGCAAATGGAGCGGAAAGCTTCGCTCGACGGGTGCTTGATTTGGGTATATATATTGTCGGGCCGTCCTGCCCCCCCCCCTTCTCCGCTGTGTGTGTGCGCTGCTCTGACAAACACTCGGAAGGCCTCCCCTTGCGGTCTGTGCCCCCACCGGGCCAATGGCGGGCGCCCGCTCCGTATATGCCGAGCTTGGAGAGAGACCAATGCGCTGCAGGAGAGAGCCGCAAGGTCTCCGGAAAAGTGGTGCATGTCACAGCACCGAGGCTCAGGCATGTATATACGTGCTCCGGGTCGCAGAACCGTAGCAACTGCGACGTCCCTCTTCTGCATCGGGGCTCCGTGACCCGGGAGTCCGGGAGCATCGGTGGAGCGGTCGGGTCAGCAAAAAAAACGCCTGGACACACACACACACACACACACACACGCACAAGTGTCTATGTCTGTGTGTTTATAATATATATATATATATATATATATATACATATACATATATACATTTCTATGTTTTGCGTTTCTAGTCCATGTATATAGATAGGTATATATATATATGTGTGTGTCTATATATATATATATATATATATATATATATATACATATCTGTAGACACACGCATTTCTGATAGGATCCTCCACATCCACTTCACGGCATATGAACACACACCGAACACAATGTGCAAAAGTGTACCTGCTGAATGGTTGGCCGTAGTGATCTGCATTTCGTCTTGTCCACCTCACTCACAAGGGCTATGAGCTTAGGGGAGACATTCTTGACATCCCTGCCACACTTCGACAACTTTTCCAGCTGCAACTCATCTTTCGCTTGCTTGTTTTGCATCGTGTCGGGCCTCTGACATGAGCAAACACACAGACACACACACACACAAACAAACAAACAAACAAACAAACAAACAAACAAACAAACAAACAAACAAACAAACACACAATATATATATATATATCCATATATACATATATATGTATATGTATATATATATATATATACATATATACATATACATATACATACATACATACATACATACATACATGCACACACACACACACATACATACATACATACATACATACATACATACATACATACATACATACATACATACATGCATATATATATATATATATATATATATATATATATATATACACACATGCGGGCATGCATGCATGCATACGTATGTATCAAGGCATATATATATATATGCTTTAGATTTTCGGTTTGGGGCTCAAGGTTTGGGCTTTTCGGGCTTAAGATTTGGGTTTTGGGGCAGGGTTTTGGGTTGAGGGCTTTGGGTTTTTGGGTTTCGTGCTTCGGGTTTGGGGTTTTGGGCTTAGATTTTTGTGAAACTGTATGTAGCTTCCTGAAGCTATAAACAAAACTACTTCTTGAAGTACATAAATTTACTCCCCAAATTTACTCGCATGCGAGTAAATTTACTCCCCAAATTTACTCGCACGCGCGTAAATTTACTCCCCAAATACGCGAGTAAATTTACTCCCCAAATTTACCCGCACGCGAGTAAATTTACTCCCCAAATTTACTCGCAAAATTTACTCCCCAAAATTTACTCGCGCGAGTAAATTGTGGGGAGTAAATTTACACCACAAAATGTGAATAAATTCTTCCGCGCGAGTATATTCTAATTTTATTCGCATCGGGTTCCCTCATCGCACATTCCAGGGCCGAACACTCCACCATATCCTCCTGACGCACCACTTGCTTCGACGGACACGACGGAGATTATTAATTTGCTGCATCAGTTTCACAATTCTTTGCTTGAGTCGAACGCCAAGCTTGAACGCTTGATACATCAAGCTACGACTGTGTTCACAACCCAACACGAAGCCACTACTGCAATCGTGGCTTCGTGCAAACAGCAACTTGATATTCTCGAGAGCCTAATGCGGCAGAACACGCCAGACTGGTCGTAGGTGTGGATCCATGCGAGGTGTTATGAAAAAGTTGCCCTATTCTGACTGTGCAATTGCATCACACAGCAAACCACTTTGTATTTTGGATGTAAGTTTTGGCCTCAGCTGCAGAACGTTGACCCCTCAACTTTGGAGCCATGAGTGATGCATCCAATCCGCCAGAGACAACGACTACAGCTCAGCCTGTCATGGATGAGGCACGACGTGAGGCCCTCACCCAGGCGCTCCTGGAGATTTTGACCGAACACCGAGAGCACGGCTCCGACACAGGCAGCGAAGTCTCCACATTTAGCGACTGGGCCTTCCGTGATCAATTGGCCGAGTTTATCACTCAAACAAGCAGACAACTCTCAGAGTTGAAGGACCGAGTCGAAAGACTCGAAGCTTTGATGCAGATGTGAAGAGCACCAACACAAGTTGGACATGTGTGTTGCATTACATTCTGCGCTGAAAACAATTGCAAGTCGCATTCATTACATTCTTTGCTGAAACCTACTGCAAGGCACATTCATGATGTTCCATTATCGAACACGTACACACTCGTTGACCGCAGCCATTTAGCTTGTAACCTGTTGTGTCAGCATCATGGACCGACACACTAGCCGCGCGCGTCAGAGTGGAGATGGCATTGGGCCACTAACGGATCTTCATGGTGGCGAGAATACTTCATTGCTTCTCAAGAGTGGATTCGCAACCACTCGCAACAGCTTGATCGGTGTGCAGCATCCCCTACTACTACCACACAAGATGCAGCTTCAACTACGTCAACGCCTACATGCAACAAGAGAAAAAGATCTCGAACTCCATGAGTACCACAACTGAGTTGATAATTCATTGCACATTTGCTGCTTACAGCAGCCACACCACACAGCAAAGCTGTACCTATATTTCATCACACAAGAGAAGAAGATTGAACACACTTTAAGAGCATGGATGAGGAACTTGTCACCTGCTATGAAAACAGTTAGCACCTTGTTGTTGTTGCATTCTTGTGTCTGAACGCGAAGTTGCCTTGCTTGAATTCCCGCAGCCATTTTACGTGAAAACGTATTTACATACCCTGTGCCCAACATGACGTCGCACCCAGATAGGGACGACATCAGCTCGTGGGGATCAGATGAACTTGAGGCATTCTTGCAGAAAGATGTCTCTCAGAGTCGCGCCTCCTCGAGCATCACCAAGAATACTAACACTGCAGGCGCTACCACATCTACTACCACGACTGAAAAAATAACAGCAGCAGAGGACGAGATCAGCTCGTGGAACTCCGATGAACTCACTACATTCATGCAGACCGAGAAACCTTCATCAAGCATCATCAAGCCGCAAACCTTCTAAGACGCACAAGTGCGCCAGCCGCAAGACCAAGAAGAAGGACAAACGTCGGAGAAGAACATCTACCAGAGCATCGACAACACCACCACCCATGAAGCATCTTCACAAAAAGCCGAAGAAGTCCAAACAAAAGAACCCATGTTCGGAGCATTCAACGTCATCAGCCTCTCCTACGACATCTACACCGGCACCTACAGCCCGTCATCGATCACCATCCCGTGAGCCTTGGTCTTCTGAGTCTATTGCTCCGTATGATGTTGTGCACCCTACAGTCATGTACAAACATTCCAAGAGAGCATGCGCTAAGATGCTTGTACGCGCCGGCTATCGATGCCAGTGTCACTTCAAATTGTTAAAGGAATGCCCCTTTAAATCGATGTTGTAGCCTGACGATTACCGCCGATTGCCTGCAGGAACAAAGTGCGATCACGCCCCGACAGGGGCTGTGTGTGTGTGTGAACCTCCCTAGCACATGGGAGCAGAGGGTCACTCCTTGCCGTCGGTTTTTGATGCCATTTTGAAACACATTATTTTGGAAACACATGATAAGACTCCACTCTCGCTCTACTCTTTTCTCTTCTGCGAGACTGCCTGTTCGTAGCAGAAATTACGCTTACAAATCTTCTTTGGTAGCTGGAGCTCCACAAGGATCTGCATATTACAAGTCTTCAGCTCCGGATTTGCATTACAAGTCTTTCGGTGCCGATCCGAGCTTTACAAATCAGCAGATCCTTCAGAAACCGCGACAAACGGCATTACGGTATGGAATAGAAAGATGACTTTGTCAGAATGCGTGGAGCTCACAAGCTACCCTCCACGACCCCGAGTAGTTGCAACGCGACGCGAAAACTGAGCGAGATAAGTAGAAAAGAAAGCCCGCAACGGAGGCTTTGAGACATCATATTGCATTTCTGCTAAACGGGCTAGACCATCATTGACGTACACTCTGACCGTGCGGTCTGATGACCAGCGGCCCATCAAGCGCAACCAATCCATAGATGGGTTTTTGGTAAAGTACATAGTCGCACCACCCCGGCGGAGGCTATAAGGCCGGAATCCGCCGGAGGAAAGGCCCAGAGCATGAAGCCCCCGGTCAAACGATTTACGAAAAAGGTAATCCGAAACAGTGACTAGAGGTGTCTTAAATGGCACCGACTGTTTCCATTGGCGAAGCCGTTGACAAACATGCAAAACGCGAATGGTGACACTATCCTGAGTTCCCGTGCGCTGGGAGGTTTTGGTGAGCCCCAAGTTCAGAACTGCACACGCATCGTTGGGAGCTACCTCGACTTGATGCGAAGAAAGTGAAAGAAGTTCACCAGTTCGGAGAACTCCGTAAAAAGCGACTTCAAGAGCAAGCGCCATGAGTGGCTCTCCAGAAAAGAAGAAGTAGCCGTACAATGCATGCAGCACATTCTCCGGGAAAGGAGGAGCCCTCAACGGGATCTCTTTTCTTTGCCAAGCTTTAACGAGTCGCCAAGACAGCGACAACTGCCCGCGCAGGCGAGGTTTGAGGTCCTGTAATCCCGAGATCGTGTCCGTGGCTCTGGACAAGCCTTCACCTTCCTCCCATAGGAATTCGATGTAGTCAGCCACTACATCATCAAGTTGGGAACCCTCGTCAGGGATGCGTACTTTGTGAGACTGACAATACTGGTAAAAAGACTGCAACGCCGTGTCATAACGAACACGCGTGCGTGGTGCTACTGTGTTCGTCCGTAAAGAGCCAAGGTGTCGCCGCTGAACTTGCCTATCGTGCCTCGTCTTTCCCGCAACTATCACTTTGACCATTTGCGCTTGACACGCAAATGCCGGCTAGGCCGGTCAGCCGGGTTAGTCGCACTCGAGACGTAGGCAACGTAGGTCTGAAGGCCAGCAGCGAGTAAAAGGGACGAAACACGGAACATGAGAGATTGAATCTTTCGGGAGCTGGAGCGCCCGCGATTCAGCACGTGCAAACACACCATAGAATCAGTCAGGTGCAGCACACGGCATCGAATGTTTTTGCGACGAAGGACACGCCATCGCAAAGCTGTGTACACAGCGCGAAGTTCCAGCCGGTTTATGTGGTCACCTTCACTTGATGCCCACGGAAAACCGCAAACAGTACGCCAGGACCATAAATTGGCTGGCACTGAGGTACGAAACCTCTGAAAATCTCTCGATCCATGTGAAGCCTGAATCATAACATCTGCGCCTTTGGTGCTCAACAGAGTGAGCAGCTTCGAATTGAGAAGAGCCGCCAAATCCGGGTCATCAGAAGTGGCTTCAGGGCTGAGGCTATGCCAGGTGAGCAGAGTGGAACCCAAGACAGGCTCATCCGCGAAAAGGCCCTGTAGCAGCTCCGTGAGGGTCTGTACGATGCACAACTTGCGGGGGTGAAGGAGCTGAAGCAAGAGGAAACCGACGACAGGGATTGACCATGCGCTGCCGAGGAGTGTCATTTGCACATCCTCGGAATAAAGAGGGGCAGACTTGCTTGTGGTTTTGTCTACCGCGTGGAGCGTGTATCCCACGGGGTACCCGAGGCAACGCTCGCGCTCGGAAACACTGGGGACACGACATTTGCTGCTTTTCCACAGCAGATTGGTCTCCTTGTATTGGTAAGGTGGGAACCTGTGCCGGTCGGCCCGCCACCTTGCACGCGTGGCGTCATCACACTTGTGAAGCCCTGCAGGGCGAGACCGTGGAGAGGCGCTAGGCTGCGAAGTGGTGAACGCAGACAAGCACTTGCTGTCAGGATGCTTGTCCCATCCTTTCTCAAAGCAGCCTTTGAATGAGGTGGCAACCTCAAAATCAACTTTGCCATGACCGCCGGCATCTCCGGAAGTTGGAGGGTAAAGCTTGACTCCTTCAGCAGACTCCAGTGTCCAATCAAACCAGTACAAGCGGCAACGGCGAGTAGGCGACAGCTGACTGGAACACAGCTCATAAGGAATGACATCGGCAGCTCTGGTGTACGAAACCTTCACTTCACGATCAATGCTTGCAACACACTCTTGGATAAACTTTACTTCGCACCAGTCAAACGCTTGTTCAAGCATCTTCACAATGGGTTGCACATAGTTGTGAAGGCCACTTCTGGGATCCGCTGTTGTTTCAACTTCATCAACGTTGGCGTGATTCCCACGTGGGCAAGCAAGACCAACTCCCACAATCAAGAGTGAACAAGAGGGGCATTTGCGCGACCAATCTTGGCACATCTCCAAACTCACTTCTGCCACTCCATTGACGTGAACAACGTCTGAAAAGTTGGACTCGACAACACGCTTTGCCGCCTCACTGCATTCAACCGAAATGTGCAAAGTCACATTGGCGCCAAGAGCCTCGAGTGCCACTCTCAAGCCACCGGCGCCGTCAAAGAGTCCAATGCAAACGACTCCCTTTTCTGGCACTTCGGGACCTTGGCCTCTAAAACTGCTCTGAGCCACCTTCTCCCCGAGACTAGTCACTTTGTCAGAACAGCACACACCACCTCCAAGAAGTGACGCATCGCTGGCCGTCACCAGCCCTGACAAAGGTGCTCGAAGATCCATGTGTGCTAAGGGCAACAATCCAAGAAACATCAACAGCTCGGACAACACCGATGGCGGAATATCACGAACCCGAGGCCCTCCCTCTTCAAAGGATTGGATAAAGCGCCAAATGGAGTTGAGACTGGACATGAGCGGACCATACAGAAGTAGACCAAACCACCACCAACCACTTGAACCTCTTTCTGCGAGCACCGCCGCCTCCTAACTAAGGAGACAGCAGCACTGCAGTATTTTCCCAGTTTCTCGCCTCGTGGTCTAGCAAAACCTTCAGAACCATCCAAATCCGCACCTTGCATCTCAGCTGACACTGCTTGCTTGACCGATTTCTTCTGGTTTAGCGGAATGCCAATATCAGCATATGCAGCCACCAAAGGGCTCATCTCTGTGGAAGGGCTTCCTTCCAAAAGACCCAACTCATGAGGATTCACCTTTTTTAGTTGGTCCAGGTTGTCTAGATATACCCTCCACAAAGGATTCGATAAGCTCCAAGGTCTGTCTCTGCGAATCTCGCTCCCTCCGGGGAAGCTCTGAGGAGAACCGACCACGTTCCGAATGATGTTCCGATGTAGGTGTTGTGCAATCCCCACGGAGTTGAGATAACCCATGGGGAGCACACGAGCCGCTAAGAAACACTCCTCATCGCAATGAGGCGGGACAAGGTCACTGGGCACTGGTTTGCCAAACGTGAGGAAAGGGAACCAAGTCTCCGGAAGGCTGAAAATATAGAACATGCAGCGTATGTCCTCAGACGAAACGATCAACTCCTCATCGGCATGAAGTTGCAGCGCAGACATTTGATGGAGCAATGGAAGTGTACATACTGAACCCGCCACCGGGTGGCTGATACTGTTGAACGGGATCAGGCTCATGATCAATCTGTGTACGGATACCCCACCAACATCCTCATTCTTCTCAACGCCGAATAAGCCATTGTGAAGTCTTTGACCATTGCAAGTCGCCACTGCGGAACTAGGTATGATACAGCACACTCCGTATTCAATGAGGCCCCGCGCCAAATCCGCCCAATCATCATCCTTTACCATAACTCTCGAGCTCTTGACATCCATATCTTTCCATCCACCAAACAAATGGGGGCTCGGGTCACGCAGAAGATTTAGCACGACTCCCTCAGCAAAGTCAGTTGCTCTCACACTCCCGATGGCGCCATAAGGCAAGGCAGGTTTGACATTACCCCACGAAGTCCACTTCGCTGTACGGACCTCTTCACCCGAGTAGCTCACCGACCGAGTTTGCAAAAAATGACTCCAATCAAAGCGGTTGATGCTGAACTCATGCCCTAAAAAGACTTCGACACGCTCGCGAAGGTAGTCCAAGATTCTTGACTGCACCATTGTAGGCGGACCACTGGACAACTGAACATGAATACCACCGTTGAGGTAATTCAAGCTGCACACCAACATAAAAAGCCAAACTCCTTTATGATCTGCCTCTGCTCTCATCTGTTCCAGATCATTGTTGCTGGGTAGGGGCAAGGGGAATATACTGCACTCTTTCTTGAATCTCCCCTCTGCCGTGTCTGTAGGGCTAGTCTCGCAGAAGTTTGAAACCACATCAGCAAAACCACATCCTCTACCCAGCAGAATCTTCAACAATTCAGCTCCCAAAAGAACCGAACTAAATGGATAATCCTCAAATGCCTTTCCTGATGGCCTTGAAACATCCTTCGGGACACTGCCCGGAGATCTTCTGGCCCCATGCTCTAGGGGCTGGAGCTCGCGAGCCGCAGCCCCTTGACAGGACTTTAGTTCGGCTTGGTTGGCTCCACTCGAGGAGCCGCGTGTTCCCTCCAAACTTGTCCCTTCTTGCCTCCCTTGCCGTCCTTGCCATCCCCCTTCTTTCCTTTGTAGCCTCCCTTCCAATCCTCGGTCCATTTCCCTTTGCCTTTCCCAAGCTCTCTCTGGACTCTGGCGTCTTGCTTGAATTCCTTTGCCGCGGCGTGGGCTTCTGCTATACTCGCAATCTGCTCTTGTTCGAGGGGTACCAACTCCAAATTTTGTGCCACTGCCCAACTGGACCCCCCGACGACCAACTCCAGAGACTTCACTCTCTGCATGATGATATCCAGTGCTCCCAGAATATCCCTCTGCAACAGGCGGTCTATGGAATAAGCCAACGTCAACAGTTCTCTCTTCGGTCCTGGAGCCACGTCCCTCCTCAAAACATGTAGCCTCAGATACCTCAACATGACTGGCACCAAGCCTACGGTCTGATTGTCTCCAACTCCTTGCGCCAGCAGGCGCTCCACCTCTTCGACAGCATGCCTCGTCAGAACTCCTGGTACTCGTCTTGCTAGCTGCTTGATCCGAGGGCCTTCTCGAAATGGGTGACTCGAGTCTTGGGAATTTATCGATCCTTCTGAACTGCTGTTGCTGCTGCTGTGGCTGCTCGAGGTGCTCCTCTTCCGAGATTTCTTGTGGGATTTCTTGCTCTTCTTCTTCTTCTTCCCCCGAGTCTTCAACCACCAGCGTACCGTTGTCCCCTTGTCCAGTGGCGTTCCTTTGAAGGTTGTTCCCCCCGTCTTTCGATTCACATCGTCCTCTCCTGAATTCTCCTGGGTCGGGGCAAGCGCTCCTGGAGGGTCTATCCCGCCCAAAACGCCTCGCCCTTTGGAAAGATTCGATAACTCCTTTGCTATCTCTCCTTGGTTGCTCTCTCGGTGGTTCGACGCGACGTTCCCGTACCAGGCTACTCCCTTGTCTTCGCGGCTGACACACTGACCATGCAGACCTCCTGTTGAAACCGGAGCTTTGGGACAGTTTGCGGGACAAAGGTGAACGGCGATCATCTCTGGAGGATAACCTGTCTGTATCAAACCCTCTGCCCACTTCAACATGTCCTGGTTGTCGGTTCCTTCCAGAATAAGGTTCGCATGAATACCCCCTCTTCCCACCGTCAGGCACTCCAACACTCCGATAATTTGACATTGCTTTCCCCAATAATCGCCAGAGAATAAATACCTCTCACCGAATTCCCAAAAGCTCTGAGGAATAGTCGCGATTGGCAGCGCCTGGCCCTTGGCCAAACGTCCTTTGTAGTCGAAGAAGCGCCTAGACTTACCCGCAACTCCCAAGACAGGAGACGGGGTTCGACGACGAGACCTCGAACGAACAGCTCCCGGCCTTTTGAGAATTCCTGATCGAGACATAAACCACTCCAACTCAAGTTTCAAAACCCTGCTGTTTCAGTCCTCGTCGTCAATTAATGTCGCTCTCGTCTTCGTTGGGAAACTCTTCTGGCTCAATACTCGGCCGATTCCGCGAATGACCCAAGTGATACCGCACGTCTTGCCAAACAGCCCGCTGAGTACCTTTGTTCGCCTTGCGCCTCTTCGGACGATCAGTCCCTTCCCCAGCACCGGTTGCTAATGGCGGCGAACGAGACCTACCCTCGGATCTACTTCTACTAGGGACAGGCTCCGCAACAGATGAAGCAGCATTTGACTTGGGAGTCGCTTTAGGCCTGGCTGGCATAAGAGACCTGACCAATCCGCCTGGGGGCTCGGGCCGGTAACCCGGAATTTCATGAGGAGGTGGACCTGAGAAACCTATCCAATCGCGGAGCCGCCACTCAGTTTCCCTAAGCACTGCAAGACTGTGTGAATCGTTGTTGCGCCCCAAACGCCAGCATACGCCCTTAATCCGATCAAGGGCTCGACAGATTCCACACGAAGCACCCCCACCCTGGAGCGGTTGAAGTTCCACACAGCTTACAGTACAGAATGTGCAAACACTAGCTTCAGACATCCTTGACACGAAAAGGGCTACGAGCAAGAAGAGATCGCTTGGTGTCGTCTTAAACTAGGAGGCCATGAGTCATGTATGCAGGGGAGTGTGGCACTTGCGTCCTACCACACTCAACGAAGCTGTGGATGCAAGTGGGAAGCGGGACCTGATCAGTCCTGTGTACCTGCATGGCAGCCCCCTGTGGCGCCAAGATTAGTTTGAGGACAGCCCCCTGTGGTGTCCAGATTAGACAATCACTTTACAGTTGTACGTTTGCCGCATTCTGACAAAAACATGCAGCAAGTCCAACATGCCTCTCTCTCTTTCCTTTTGCACTCGTGCTCTCGGCCGAATCAGTCAGTGTGGGTGGGTGGGTGGGTGGGTGGGTGGGTGGGGAATTGTGTCAAACCAAGGTGCGAATGTTTGCGAAACAGTTTCACAACACCGTAGATGGACAGTATCTGGACCGGGAGATCTTTGTGCAAACTCTGAGCGGGATGAGTTTCCGCTTGAACTTGTACGGAGAGTTCGGTCGTGGAACAGCATGTGTTTCGGGAAAAGGAACGTTCTTTTGGGGAATCGCGATGCACCCGGGTCAGCTCGTGGATCCGGGAAAGATCGTGGACCCGAAGATGCTCGTGGATCCGGGGAAGCTCGTGGATCCGGGGAAACTCGTGGAGCTCCTGGATTGGATCTCGTGGATCCAGGAGCAGGAAATGAATCGTCATTCTCAGCAGGAATACCACCAAGGCCGGTAGCAGCACTTGAAGCAGGACCAGCTCAAGGAGCAGGACAAGGACCAAGACCAGCAGGTGGAGGAATTCCGGCATATGTTCCGCCGGTGCCAGAGCTTCCTGCCAATTTCGAACCTCGTGGGCAAGTAGGACTCCATGTCTGGGATTTGTATCTGAACCTGCGAACTCAGGCTGAAATTCGCTATATAGTTTTGTGTGGTGACCACTATATAAGACGCTGCACCCTATATAAGATCCTGTGCGATTGTGTGACATCCAGGTGCGTTATTTCAGAAGCTGGACTTCAACTTCGTCCTGGAGCATGCAAGGAAGATCCACAAGCTTCCGGAGCTTGAGAAACTTGTTTGATGTGGCTTTTGGACCCTTTTGTGTGAACAAATCAGAGTGCCTCTCAGCCAAGGAAGGAGAAGCTTCTCTCGGAACATCAGAAGAAGCAGCAGGAGCACATGCCGCACCTCGGGAACAAGGGTTTGCGAATGGTTCTGGTTCTTCTGGGACCGCACTTTTGCAAGGAGAAGGGCCTCACTAACGATGGTAAGTGCAGGAAACTCATGGAGGCGATGTTGGTGGACATGATGACCGACGATTTGTTCCGGTTCCTGTGGAACTTTTATGAGCTGACCCACGAAGTGGAGGCCACCTTTTTGTCACAAAACTTTTTGTGCATAATAATCGTGTGTGTGTGTGTGTGTCTATTGTTGTGTGCCTTCTTTGGCAGGCAGTCTGGAACCTGGAGTACCTGAACATGCGAACCATCCAGGCGGCTGTTGTGTCGTTCTGCGAGAGCAACTGAGAGGGTGGATCTGGACCTGGACAATGTAGAGTAGACTCTGCACCTTGCAGAGAGAGGAGCTGTTTTTGGATAATCGCCCTCGCATGCAGTGCTTCGTTGTGCCTGGATGGGCAGTTCTTTGGAACACAGGTGTGTGTTTTGAAGTTTTGTGGTATCTCTCCGGAACAGGACCGGGAGAACACAAACACTTCCGAATCACGTGTGCAGACCTGAGACTGTGAGACGGCACAGGGTGGAAAAAACAAGACGTGTGGACCGTGTGTGTTTCTCTGTGTGCGAGGATGCATATTCTGCACAGGATCTGGGTTGGATGGCCCGTTTTGAGTGTATATGTTGTGTGATCACCGGACAGTATCTAGATGCAGGATTGTGTGTACATATATACAGGATTGTATATAGATTGCCCCTTTTGCTGTGGGCTGCATGGCCCCAAAGGACTGAAAATTGTGAGCAGGACCGTATATGTGTAGACGGAGAGCAGGATGTTGTATAGGATTGTATACATAGAGATGGATACTTTTTTTGTGCTGGGCTGGATGGCCCCACAACACAGAGAGAAGCGTGATCACAGGGGCACATCCTTTCCGCTGCATTTCGAGTTTTGTGTGCCCCTTTGGGTTTTTGTGTGTGAACGAATCATGGCTCTCGAGCCTCCGGCCAAGAAAAGGAGGCTGAAGTCATCTGGCCTCCATGGAGGGGATTGCTCACTGAAGAAAGAGGAAACTGGATCTGTACTGAGAATGTGGCTGCTGGAGCAGTTTGCATGGGGGCACTTGAGCAGTATGCAGCTTCAGAAGATAGCCGAACTTGCAGTGTTGGATGCTAGGAGTTCGAGGATCAAGGATTTGGAGGAGATTGGTCAGACTGGAACTTCCGGTCGCTATGCAACTCGGCATTCCCGATCTTAGAAGATGTTTTTCACACACTTCTGTGCAACTGTATATATATATATATATATATATAGGATGAAATATCTCATATATATTGTGAACCCTATATATAGAATGTATATGTATGTGTGTATATATATAAACATCAGATAGTGGATCTAGACGTGAGGCCAACAACATCAACAGGGACATCATGAGACTGGTGAAGAACATGCCTCGCTTGGACTCGGGAACTAGGATCACACTACGAAGGGACAAGACCCAGGACATTCGGGCGGACCAGGAGGAGCAGGAAGAGGATCATGCTTATTCAATGTCCTTGCCGCATGAGGTTTTTGCTGGAATCTGGGAGAAGTATCCGAATGTCTTCAGGAAATGCTATTCAGGAGAACCTGGAAACCCGCGACGTGGAATAGCTTCGGACTTAAGGCGATTTTGGAAACAGGCGAAGAACCTGGACCAATGGAAATGCCACCCGCTCAAGGACCTGACTTTGCAGGAATTGGAGAAAGTAATCCCCATTGTTCTTCATGGAGACGAGACCCCGATCACTGGCAGGGGGAAGATTTGGAGCTCTTCGGCAGTGGTGTTCAGCTGGAGCTCAATGCTCAGCAACTACTCCGGAAAAGGAACAAGAGCCACTTGTGTCGCACTTTGGCATATGTTTTCTGTGTCATTGTGGAAACACCTTTGCTTAGACAGTCCTTTTCATGAGAAGCCGTGCAGAAGTTTTGTGCTGTGTGTGCATGTGAGAAAGAGTGCACGTAGATGACCCGTGTGCCATTTCTGTTGCTCATATACACACACACACACACACACACACACACAGGGAGAGATAGAACCGTGGCCCGGCCGTTTCGCCATGACTGTGCACGCCGGAGAAGCAGGAGATGGAGAAGAAGAAGAACCCTCTCGCAGGGCAGCCTCGTTTGATGAAAGCGACTGGGAAACATTGAGCTTACACATTCACGAGTTGCAGATGCAGGTGAATGCGATGGAAAGCCGGCTGGAAAGCCGCCTTCGAACAATCGAAGAAAGGTTGAGCTACCAGCAGCATCATCACATTCGCGACTTGCAGCAGCAGGTCCGCTTGGAAACAGTCGAAGAAAGGCTGACCTACCATCGACATGGAGCAGGAACTGAACATCATGATCATCATGGAGCAGGAACTGAACATCGTCGCCCCGTCGAACGTGGAAATGTTCACCATGGAGAAGGAACTGAACATAGTCACCCCGGCCGTCGAACATGGAAATGTTCATCATGGAGCAGGAACTGAACATCGTGACCCCGTCGAACATGGAAATGTAGAACGAGCAATGAGCTGCTTGCAGGATTGACGGCCTGTCACGTGCACTACGATCTCACGCATACGAAGTACTTGGGCTACTGCCAGCATTTATTCGGATCAGCGATGGAACTGTTGTGTCGACACATCATGGACAAGGAACCATAGGATAACCTCAAGGATTTGTGGAAGTACATAAAACAGCATCAGAAGCGTAACAGGATCTGAAACAGGTACCAGCAGCGGCGGTGCAAGCTGTCCATGTTCCAGATGAAGAAGGACTTCCCGAAGCTGAAGGGCAAGGCCAGTGAGATCAAAGGGTTGTGTGCTACATTCGTGGACATGTGGAACAATTTTGCACCGGCCACGGAGGAGTACAAGAAAGTAGCAGTGTTGCTGGAACTGAACAAGGACTTCGAACAAATCCTGAGCCGGTACCCTGTGTCGGAAGGGCATTTTGCATTGCCGGCGGACGCAGCACGACAGCTGGTGCAGAATTTCAGGAATTTCGGCGCACTTTATGTTCATTTGTCGGATTATTACAAAGAAAAAACATTCGAGTGTTCAACGTGACCTCGAAGGTGCATGCTACACAACATATTGCGGAGAGGAGTGGAGAGATGCACCCAGTACTGACAAGTTGTTGGAGGGGGGAGGATTATATGGGGAAGCTGGGCAAGATGATGGCTTCTTGTGT